GTCTTGGGCACCGGTTAAGAGGCCGCGCCTTCCTCCCCTTGGCAGGCACCGCTCCCTGCTGGAAACCGAGTGTGCAAGGGGAACTAGCACAGCTAGAGGATGTCCTAGTTAACAGCGAGGTCACTACCTGCGTGTCCTCTGGGACAGCAGCCTGCCTGTGACCTCCGGGCCATCCCGCACTGGCACACACGCCAGGGGAGGAAGGGAGGCGAGGCGGGGCACATGCTACCTGCGGGCCAGGTGCCTTTTCTTCTGAGCGCCAAGTGCGATCTCAGCTGGAGAAGAGGCTGGGCTGACGTGCCCCTCGCCCCCCGACCCAGCACAGGGCCTGGCACATGCTTGACACGCTCCAGGCAGCGTGATCTCCAGGAGCGGCTGTACAAGAGGCTGGGCTGACGTGCCCCTTGCCCCCCGACCCAGCACAGGGCCTGGCACATGCTCCTGATACACTCCAGCCAGTGCGATCTCCAGGAGCGGCTGTGCAACAGGCTGGGATGATGTGCCCCTTGTTCCCCCCCAAACACACACACCTAGCACAGGGCCGGGCACGTGCTCGTGACACACTCTGGCCAGCGTGATCTCCAGGAGCGGCTGTGCAAGAGGCTGGGCTGACGTGCCCCTCGCCCCCCAACCCAGCACAGGGCCTGGCACATGCCCAACTCGCTCCGGCCGAGGAGCGGCACAGGCCCCTGCAGGCCCCTGTGGTGCGGGCTTCCAGCTCCACGATCAACAGATCCTCGGCCTCTTTAAAGGAAAACTCCGAGGGCCTGTGTGACGGATCCGAAACAGGTGTAGGGCCAGAGGGACACTCGCTGGTGACAACTGACACCAACTCAGATGCGCTTGTCCCCGGTTCAAGGACGATTAGCACCACTGAAAGGGGCATCTGCCCAGAGGGGGGCCGCTGCCAGGGAGCTCTTTCCTGCCCTACGGGTGAGGAGCGGAGACGGGGGGTGCGAAATGCAACTTTAAACATTGCAGAACTGCCCCCCTGGCCACGTTATTTTGATCTCTAAGCAACTCACCAGGAGCACCACTGATGTACGATGTCACGGCGGTCAGTCAGGAAATGCCATCTGCCGTTAGGCACGCCAACTGCCATCAAAACAGGGAGAGCCGCGCTTTGCTCCAACCCACTCTATCCTATTCACATCCTGCCGATAAATATTTTGTTTTGTTTGGTCTTTGGAGCATTGGTAGCAGGCATTTCAACATTCTGCCTCTGTCGGGGCCGCCCTTATTTCTCCCCTGACAGCACCGCCTTACCCCCTGGTTGGGACCATGCCTTTCAGGTGGGGGTTAGGTACCAGGGTCCTATAGGGAGGTGGGGAGAAGCCAAAGGACAAGGAGGTTGGGTATTAAAAAGTAGGTATGTGTATAATCAGTGAAGGGGGGCAAAGGGGAGGAAAAACAACCAAATGGGAGAGTAGAACTTCACTTGTCTGGCCCTTCTGTCTTTTATTAAACAAATAAAGTGTGTGTGTGTGTGTGTGTGTTAAACAGTAAATTGTATCTAAGAGAAGTGTGGCAGGGGGCTATTTATACAGGTAATGGAGAACTAACTAAAGAAGAAAACCTGGGGGACGCTCAGGTGGCTCAGTGATTGAGCATCTGCCTTCAGCTCAGGTCGTGACCCCGGGGTCCCGGGATCGAGTCCCACATTGGGGAACCTGCTTCTCCCTCTGCCTGAGTCTCTGCCTCTCTCCGTGTGTCTCTCAGGAATAAATAAATTAAATATTTTTAAAAAAGAAAGAAGAAAGGCAGCCCGGGTGGCTCAGCGGTTTAGCGCCGCCTTCAGCCCAGGGCCTGATCCTGGAGACCTGGGATGGAGTCCCACGTCGGGCTCCCTGCATGGAGCCTGCTTCTCCCTCTGCCTGTGTCTCTGCCCCTCTCTCTCTCTCTCTGTGTGTGTGTGTGTGTTGTGAATAAATAAATAAAATCTTAAAAAAAAAAGAAAAGAAAAGAAAGAGGAAAACCTGGATTTGATTATATAAAAATGATACTAATTATAGCTATGAGAGTCATTGATCGTTTATGAGTACTTAGTAAGCTCATCACTTGTATGTAGCAGATTAATTTTCTTGTGTTTTAGTCTATTTCAACACCATAATATGTGGGTTTAGGCCGTTTTATTATGGCATATCTGCTAAAAAGCTTTAGAACTCTACACGATTTAGGGGATTTGAACACCCTTTAGACTATAATAAAATGAGAAAAGTCATTAGGAAACAGAATAAAAAGGGAAGTAGAAAAATGAGGTGAACAAAACAGAGGAGAAAAGTGGAATGTGTGGCATTTAACAAATTCAACAAAAAATAGAGGAAAAGAAAGAAAGCTAAAATTAACCTAACGGAAGAAAAACGAGTGACATAGGAAAACCCAGTTAAGAGCGTGAAAAGAAAAAGAGTCTGAGCTTTACCAGCCTGGACAAGGGGGTAAAGACTCTTCTAGAAAGAAATTACTCTTCAAAGCTTCAAAACAAAGCTTCCACGTCACTAGAGTATCTGAAATGCAGAGTAAACTATTTCCCAGGCACCACAGTGAAGTTTTCTAGTGTGATCAGCGATGCCAATCTTCTCAAAGAGAGAAGGGATAAAAGGAGGAGAAAGGAGAATGCGTTTTCTCCACTTAGGGCACATCACGGCTAGTATTTTTTTATATGCTTCCCTGGAGACAAAGGACTAATATTGTCCAGACTCCCTGTGGCCCCAGAAGAAGACGGAGACACGTCCCGTCCGTCTAGCTCTGTGAGCGTGCCTGCCGCCACCCGCGCTGCTGGGATGCCCTTCTCCCCCGCCAAGGCCTGTGGCCTACCCCGGCACCCACTGACCCGGCCAGCTGGGCCCTCCAGCACCTGGCAGCCACAGAAAGAACAGCTCCGTGTCTCCCCTTTGGGTCCCATCCGTCCTCCAGAGGGCAAGCGACAGAGACAGGGAAATTTATTGCTGACACTTCTGGGCCTTTGGCCATTTCCCAAGAAGAAGCTGAATGGGACACATGGAGCTACCAGGCACTCCCTTCCGTCTTCCACACATCAGCGACCACAGGAGCGAGGCCAGGAGACCCACGTGACCTGCAGGACCTCAGACTACGCCCGGAGGATGTTCTCTCCGGCTTTCTGAGGAGCAACATTCTTGTCCTCAAAAGTATCTAAGATATTTAATTTCCGAATCATTTGATTTCTAATATTCTGGAGCAGTTTATCACAAAAACGCTTCTTCCTAAAATGTTTTTGCTCCAGCTTAGCACCACCTCATTCTTCAAAGACAATTCCTACTTCTGAAAAGTTTATCACAGGGGCCCCTGGGGTGCTCAGTGGTTAGCGCTGCCTTCGACTCAGGGCGTGACCCCGGGGTCCCGGGATCGAGTCCCGCATCGGGCTCCCCGCAGGGAGCCTGCTTCTCCCTCTGCCTGGGTCTCTGCCTCTCTCTCTGGGTCCCTCATAGATAAACAAATACAATCTTTATAAAATATTAAATGAATGAATAAGTAAATTTTTAAAAACTGTCTCACAGAAGCCAGAGAAAAAGAGTACTGGAAAAATCATCAAATCCGTATAAACCATTACCAGGAGCTGGTTATTTCAAAGTTACCCAAAGTTGTCTTCTCTGTCCTACAGAAATTAATGAACAGAAAAAGGAATCCTTCTGTTAATTCATTTGCATTGTAACAGCCCTAGGAAGGAAGTCCTTCATACGTGACTTCCATTTGGCCTGTGGAAATTTCTTTCTGGTGTATCCTGGACAAGATATCAACTCATAGGGAGAGTAGAGGTCCCAAAAAACCTAAGTTTCATCCCAACTCCTCTTCTCTCTGGCATGTTCTATCACTCCATACTCCCTGACGCTGCAGAGACTCTTCGGCCCTGGATTACTCAGCGGCCCAGGGGCATCGGCCTGGCCCCGTTAGAAATGCCCTTCCTCTCCAAGCTGTGCTTTCCAGAACAGTGGTCGGACAAAGAGAGATGTTTCCCCATCCCGCCTGAGAAAACTCACTTTAAAAGACTCTGATCTTTTAAAATACTCATTCCTCGCCTGCAGCCAGGATGCAGAATTCACTTGTACGGCTCTGTCCGGTCCACAGACCTTTGGGGGAACCCCCTCTGCACCAGCTACCAGGACAGCAACTGAGATCCAAGGACGAGGGATTCAAGGCGTTGACCTTGGAGAGCACTGTCTAGAGAAAGGTGACAGACATTCGAAACAGTCGCATGTGCTGGAATAAGGTCTGCGGGGCCGACCCTGGGCCGGGAGCCGCGCTTCCCTGGACCCAAGAGTGGGAATTGACAAAGTCAAGAGAGGAGGGGAGACCATTGCTGGATGACATTTCTCGAAAGCTTACCATGGTGACAGATCTGTGCTAAGTCCTTTATATACATTATCACGCCTAACTTCCTCAACGGCCATCGTCCCATTATTCTGATGAGGCCACCTCTTGGCTGAGTTTAGTAAGTTGCCAAAGATCAAGGAGCCAGAATCAGGCTCAGGGCCTCGTGGTGCACAGATGAGGATCCAGGCATAAGGGATCCCCTATCTGACCGTCACCGTCAACAGCTATGTCACCTACACTATGAGGAGCTCCAAGTCTTGAGGAAATGAGAAGCTTCTTCTGCAGAGCGACTGTACCCCTGATAGTGCTTCTCTGAGTTTTACACCCAAATCCATCCTTTTGAATGATCCTTCTCAAGAAATGTGTCTCTGGAAGTTCCCTCTCATAACGCCTAAGCCGCTAACCACAGTGAGGAGCAGGCTGCTGGTAGAGATGCATATTCAAAGGCCTCTCAATTTCTTACCAAACTCACTTGTATAGTCTACAACACGTAATCCTCAGTGAAACACAATGAAAAATGTCTTATCTGTAAGACACATTCCTTAATTCTTCACACAAGTGACAAAAATAGACTTTGATGAGTCCGCTAAGTGGCTACATTCACTGATTCATGTAAGAATAGATAAAGTAGAACTGATACTTTTCACAAGACTAAATTAGCCCATAGTTACCTCATTCTTTCCGGATCTTGAATCCTGTTCGCTAGAATTTTCTTCTAGAAAACATTTCACTTTCTCAACCTTTTCCATGCAGTGGAAAAAGGCCATTTTCTCCAGTTTGTTACTGTTGTAACATGTGTTCATTTCTTCCAGCCTCTTCACTTTTAACATCCTGGTGGTAAGTCCGATTAAGTTACTGTCTGGAGTGTGGTTTTCATCTCCCTCCGTCTCTGATTTGTAAATTAAGACACAATCATGAGCTTTGAGCGTGCCTTCCTCTTGACTGTAAAAAAAAAAAAAAAAAAAAAAAAGGAAACAAAGTTCTCATCCCTCATTCACATACTTGACTTTTGAAGAAAATGACCAGTGAGAATTTGGACCTGGAGAGAAGATCCAAAATTAGGAAGAGAAATGTTAAGATCAAGTTTCAAATGCCGGAACTTTGAAAGAAAAAAAGGATTATTTCCCCCACCTTTTCCTACAGAAGCAAACAGTAAAAGTCCACCTCCAGTTTCACTGGGTGACTGTCGCCCTCGTTGCATAAGGTAAGATTTAGATCAAGTGGCCAATTTAAATATAGAAAACAAAATTTCATTGGGGTTAATTGGGATTGCAGATTTTGCTCCTCCCATCCCCGGTGGGAAGGGCTTGTGCCTGTATGAGGGGGTCTCTCGTGCTTCCCCCTGGGGAATTTTGTCCTCCTCTGGGGCGTGATCTGCACCAGATGGCCCATTTCCAGAGCCCTTCTCTGCCTACACCAGAAATGTTCGGTGTTTATTTTTAAAAAGAAATTTCCTTACTGCCTCCTCGCACAGATAAGATGCCCAGATAGCTTTCTTTGCAATGTCATTACCTGCTAGGTATCAAGGAGTTCAAATTGTGGTGCTTTCCTTGAAATACTTTCATGACAGATTAAGTAATATGCATAATACTGCTCCCATCCTAGAGATCGCCACGTAGGCACGTGTCTACACACCTGATGGTGTGGGGGCTTGGGGGAGAGACACGGTTCCCACAGCTGATTGCAGAGGCCCCCTGCTGGAGGTTTTCTGAAAATTGCTTTCAGCTTTTTTTTTTATATAAATTAATTTTTATTGGTGTTCAATTTACCAACATACAGAATAACACCCAGTGCTCATCCCGTCAAGTGTCCCCCTCAGTGCCCGTCACCCATTCACCCCCACTCCCTGCCCTCCTCCCCCTCCACCACCCCTAGTTTTTCCCAAATTTAAAACCATCTGCGATTCTCTCCACAAAACTTCAGTTTTCATTCTCTCAACTCACATAGAAAACTCATATATACCTTGGGTTCCAAATTATTAAGAATCCAGTGCTCTGCAAAATCCTTCTTAGCCTTACAAAGACCTTACGTCAAACACGCTGAAATGCATGTAGTACCAACCAGAGTTCTCTACAATACCTTAGAGATCAATCCTGGCATCTCTTCAAAGCGCCCTGAAAAAAAATCGTTATTAAAATAAAGAGACAGGTGCAGGCTATTTCCAAAGCCAACTATGACTTGTAGATAGTTCATAATTGCAGATGGTACTCACGCTGGAGCAGGAAGCCACGTAAGAATTAGTGTTAAAAAGAAAACAGGTCCAAGGTATGATAACTTTGCAAAGAAGTCACAACTGTTAAACTCTACCTGGAGTTTGGTACAACCTGTTATTTAAGGCAGCACAGAAACAGGAGATGTGAGAGGTCATAACAATTTTTTTTAAATAATTACCACGTATAGGAGGACATCCTAGGGTTTGGACCACTTCAGGTGCAGAGTGTAATTTCCAGCAGATAAGGGAAGTTTTGCAGAGTTCAAAATGACCACACAATTCTCTGGGAAAGGTCTTTACTCTCCGCCGGTATAATTCTTCTGAAAAGACAAGTGTCCACTCCGAAAGGAAGTATCCTCTCTCTCAAATGCCACTTTGAGCCCCTGTTTAAACTAATATCATCCTTGATCTCATGTTGCTCAGCTGTTGCCTTCTTAGTCAGATGGAGAAGAATATTAATTTTAGACGCCAGGCTTTTCAAGGCCAATGGCTCCATTTCAGAGGTCAGGTAAGGAGAGGATGTACTGGGAACAGTGGATGAAATATCACCTTCACCTTTTCTTCTCATCAGTGTGGTAATGCTCTCAGAATTACCGAGCAGCATTTGCCTTTGGCGATCAGATGCCCTGTTCTCCTGCCCCTTTTAGACTCGTGATGATTTAAGTGTCACTCCCAGCCAAGAGGATTCTGGGTGTGGGAATCCCACAGCCACCTTTGTTTGTCCATGTGACACTTAGGACACACACATCTAGAGTATGACAGATCTTTGGAAAACACTTAGCAAGGTTTCATTTTCTCAGTCTTTAAAATTATCTGCAATATCTCCAACAGTTTCTAGCTCTAGGAAAGGTCGAGGGCTCAAGCGTCCGCGGAGTTGCAAAAAACAGGAATGAATTTTCGTGAACTCTCCTTACAAACAACACCGTGGTTTTCCCCTGGTTGCCTGTCACAAGTCAAGAAAGGAGAATCCAGTGCAAATAACCCACCTACATGATCCTAACAGGAGTGTATCCGTGACTCCTAACAGGAGTGGCATCAAACCTCAACTGCCTGAGCTAGTAACAGACAATCGCCCGATTCTTCGAGACCTGGAAATTTCACCTCTTTGGCTCCTTAGCTGATGCCTGTCCTCCCCCCACCAACACCAGCCTCTAGATTTATTTTGTTTTGCCAAAAGAAAAACAGTTTTTATTCTTAATTCAGATCTATGTGTTCCATATAATATAAAAATATATTTCCATTTTGAGTAACATATAAAGAATTATGGCAAAATCTTTAAAAAGGAAAATTTATAGGTGTTTTTCTAGGATTAGAGAGCTTGGCTCTTTAGGAAGAGTAACTACACAAAATTAGGTACTTGTTAAAGATAAATTATTTAACAAAATTGTTATAAAAAGAGTGAACTGATTTGAGGTTATCAATTTTGCTTGGAGTAATTAAATTGTGAAAAAAAAAGTGATAAGCTGATGAAATGACCAATCTCCTGCCCAGAGAAAACAACATGCATAGCCTTCTGCTGATTTGACCATAACTTCCATCCAGACCATCCAAACAACAGGATCAGATCTTCCATCCCCTCAGGGGGTTGGAAACCAGCCACAGGTGCCAATGAACTAGAAAGCAGCAAGATCTGCTCCTTTGCTTTTTTTTTTTTTTCTTAATAAATTGTTTTATTTTAGAATAGTTTGAGATCTACAGGAAAGGTGAAAAGTGAAAAGAGCACAGGCAGTTTCCTTATGCCCTGTACCCAGTTTCCCCTATTGTTAACATCCAACATCTATCACAATTAATGAACCAATGCTGATGCTGAACTCCATGCTTCATTCATGGAGTTGTCATTCATTCATTCATTGTCAGTTTTCCCCTCTTCTATGTCAGAATCTCATCTAGCATTTCATACTCCATTTAGAGCCACCAGAATTTGTGATGGATTGGATCTGGGGTGTGAAAGGATGATGATAGACAAGGATGACTTTCCAGCTTTTTCCTGAGCATTTGAATGACAGAGTTGACATTAACTAAGATGGAGAAGGATATGGGGGTGGGGAGAGGTAATTTTTGTGGGGAAAAATCAGAAGCTCAGTTTTTGGCAGGCCTATAGGACATCCAAGTTGAATAGATTGTGAAATGGAAATCTAGACTTTGGGGAAGAAGTCCAGATTGGAGATACAAATTTGGAAGTCATCACATATAGATAGTTCCATGTGCAATATGTATTTGATAGATATTTGTTGATTAATTACTAGAAAGAAGCTTTTTAATTGTGTCTATCATAAGAAAGAAAAATTGATTCAAACAATCCATGCTGCTTGTCTTCTAAAATTAGAATCAGTGTCCAGTTCTGCTATGTCACACTATTTCCAACTTCTGATAGCACAGAGGACAAGCAGCTGGTATAGTATTTGATCATCAAAAAACAAAACAACAACAACAAAAAAAAAACAGGTAACATATGCATGCCTATTATGATCTATCTGCCTCGTCTCAACATCCTAAGTCCACACCCATAAAATAATTGGAATGTCTTAAAGATGTTCATATGCTTGGAGAAGTTCACAGTGAGGCTATGAACAGACTCAGTGACACTTTTCCCGGATATCCCTCATATTTTGGAACTATAAACCCTAATAAAAAATACCAACCTCAGAAAAATCACATTCCATGGAGCCATGGGAACTGTAATTCTTTCAAGGGACATTTTTATTAACTAGCAAGAGACTGTACTGTCAAAAAAAAAAAAAGCCATGTAAACCATGCTTTGCCAATGACTGTGTGCTGACTGGCATTCAAATCAGGCTGGATGGGGATCCCTGGGTGGCGCAGCGTTTTGGCGCCTGCCTTTGGCCCAGGGCACGATCCTGGAGACCCGGGATCGAATCCCACGTCGTGCTCCCGGTGCATGGAGCCTGCTTCTCCCTCTGCCTATGTCTCTGCCTTGTCTCTGCCTCTCTCTCTCTCTGTGTGACTATCATAAATAAATGATTTTAAAAAAAATCAAATCAGGCTGGATACTGCTTATAATTTCTATTTGTACATAGGATTCTGAATGTTGTTCCAGAACAACATGGCCTCTTGAACATTTACACATAAAAGTGGAACAATCTTCACAAAAACCAAAATGCAAATGAAAGACATCCCTGTTATCCATATAAGTATTGAATTTTCTTCCTTTCAAAATCCACCACTGAGAATGAGCCATGAAAGCAAAAACTGATAAATTGCACTTCACTGAAATTCAAAAGCTGCTCCTCAAAAGACAGCATAGGAAAATGAAAAGACAAATTACAAACCTAGGGAAAATACTGTGAAATCACACATTTGGTAAAAGAATTTGTATCCTGAATATACAACCAACTCTTACAAATCCCCAATATGATAATAATCCAATTTTTAAAATGGACAACAGATTTGAAAGACATTTCATGAAAGAAGATATATAAGTAAATGGTTACAGAACACAACAAAAAATGTTCAACATCCACTTTTATGTGTAGATAGATGTTGGGAGATGCAAATTACAATCACAATGAAGGGACACCTGGGTGGCCTAGTTGGTTAAGCATCTGCCTTGGGCTCAGGTTGTGATCCCAGGGTCCTGGGATCTAGTCCTACATCGGGCTCCCTGCTCAATGGGGAGAACTGCTTCTCCCTCTCCCTCTGCCACTCCCCCTGCTTGTGCTCTCTCTGTCAAATAAATAAAGAAAAATTTTTAAAAATGAAATAAAATCAC